AAGGTTCCCCTTGACAATTTTTGTCCAGTCGTGTTCGACTCTAGGGGGCGGTGCTCATCCCCGTTTCCAAGCCATAGAGCCAGCGTTTTGTCCGAAGACAATCTTCCGTGGTCACATGGCCAGTGCGACTTAGACAGGGAACGCTGTTACCTTCCCACCGAGGTGGTCCCTATTTATCTACTTGCATTTGCATGCTTTCGAACTGCTAGGTTGGCAGGAGCTGGGACAAGCGACGGGCGCTCCCTCCGTCGCGTGGATTCGATCGTACGACTGCTTGGTCTTCTGACCCTGCAGCACAGGCTTCTGCGGTTTAGCCCGCAGCGCCACCACGTCCCTTTACCCACCACGTCCCTTTTCCTACTCTCCGGTATAGCGGCAGCTGATCTGTTATTCAATCGGTGGCTGGTTTTGCTGGCGTTTGTGTCGTGGTGCCGTCATTGGCGTGCAAAGCTGGTTCATCTAAGGCAGAATGACTTTTCTAGGACTACTTCACGTGCTTTCTAGTTGATCGAAGGCGGTGAGTTTCCTGTATCTACAACCACTGCCATCTTAACATGACACCACAGTTTGGGTTTCCATCTGTGCTTCGCATTCGTATTGAAGCATGTGCTTAGAATATGAGTCATAAACCATATTCTAGCTTGCGACATGGTGGTGCCCTCCAGATGTGTTAGATTACAGTTCCCATCATCCCCAGCCATAGCCAAGCATACTTGGTGAAACAGTGCTCAGAATGGGTTACACCAGACCTATTTTATCCCCATCCGAATATCAATGGTTTTTAAATAGCTCCTTCACAGGCAGAAATTGTATTTAGATATTTAATTTTTATCCCAGTCTTAGGAACAGCACAACAGTGGTGTAGCTTTTTCCCCCAGCCTGGAGATACTGTAGTGATGATGAGAAAAAGATGTATGTATGAGGAATTTTGTGTCCTGGGGGAGGCGATCACTTTAAAAGCCTGTCCGTCTGAGAACAAATGCTAATGGTTGAAACTGAATTGAATTTTTTAGTTTGCTGCGGATTTCCATGACTTGTGAAGATACTGGTGCTTAAGGATGGACCCATGAGAGGGCCTTCTCTGTGGCTGCTTCCAGAGACTCTGGAACTCCCTCCCACTGGAGGCTGGCGTGGCCCCCTTTTGGCTATCCTTCCGCCAGCAGGCAAAAGGCTTTGCTCTTCAGACAAGCTTTTACCTGAGTGACGGGGTGCCTGAGTTAATGGATACTTGTGCCTTTACTGATTTGAATGTGGTTTAGCTGTTGTTTTTGCTTACCATCTTTTAGTGTGGAATTGGTTTGATTCTTTTTAGTACAGTATTTGTATACTTAACGTTTTTAGTTTTAAATATTGTCTTTTAATGATGCAAGCTGCCATGGGTCCTTTTAAAGGAGGAGGGTGGGGTAAAAATATTTTTTTTAAATAATAAATAAAGATACTTCTTCCTCTCCCTCTCCCTTTTCTCTTTCCCTTTGGCCTTGTACAGTGAAAAACAAAACACCATTTTCAAATATTTTTTAAAATAATAAATAAAGATACTTCTTCCTCTTCCTCTCCCTTTTCTCTTTCCCTTTGGCCTTGTACAGTGAAAAACAAAACACCATTTTCAGTTTAAACATCACTGTGGAATCTCCTGGGGACCATTTCTATTTGCCAGAAATGGTTAAGTGTACATTTGTGTACAAACATTTTGTAAACAAAGGACTTTGCAATCCGGTTGTGCTTATTTTGTGTAGATGTTGCCGTACCAGCTGTCACCAGGGCACACACAAGTGCCAAAGTGGATTGCTGAGAGCAGATGGTGCTCTTCTTTATGGGGGGGACCCCCCTCTTCCTTATTGGGGGGGCTGCCTCTGGATCACTATCTAGTAAGGCGTTATTTCAACCTCTCAACGGTTTCCCTGCAAAAAGTTGCAAAGAAGCTAAGTACCAGTTATCAAGGTTTTTTGCACAAAACAGCAGCATGAGGGGATGTGGCCGTTTGCTTTTCTGGAAAGCTAAATCCCTATTAGAATAAATTACAAGTAAATCACATTAGATGGCTTATTTAGCCTGCTTTTTTTCACTGGAGATTCTCTCTCTGGTGGAGAAGACAGCGTGATCCAGTTCTGAAGGGTGTTGCAACGGCATGTATTTGCTTTTTGACCCATTTCCCCTGCCCCCAGATCGGGCTCCTCCCTCCCCTAGTGCCAGGCGGCTGGAATGGTGCCCTTTATGAGTCAGGCCGTCTGTGGGGTGTGGAGTTCCCCTCCTGCTTGGCACCGTTTCTCTGTGGCCTCTTTGTAGGTGACAGAGGCTGCACTGTATTCATGCCTGCTGTACCTCCACCTAATGCAGGAATTTCTGAGTAATGGGGCGAGGAGGGAGAGATGGAAGGCTTAGCCTTGGTCGCTTGAATACCTCTCTGTGTATTGAGACTTTCCCCCTCCTCACCCTGGCATTACACACATCCCATATTCTTCTTCAAGGTGGGATGTGGCCGTTTTCCTTTTCTGGAAAGCTAAATCCTCCCAACGTTGCCTCTTCGGAGCCCTCTTTAGTAAAAGGCGCGGAGATCCGTGTTCGCCCACTACAACTCCTGCTGGGGAAATCTGGCCCTCTTAAAAAAAAATCCCCAAATCCACATAACCCTAAGCATCCCTGATTGAGCCATGGAACCTCATTCCCTTCTGTTGCTCAGGGCGGTTGGACTTCAGTACCTATCAGCCTCAGCCCGCTTGGCCATTGGTGAGGCATGATAGGAGTTGTAGTTCAGCATCTGAGGGTGGGGGGGCTCTTCCCCGGTTCCTGCCCTGTTGGCTCTCCCTGTTCTTTCTGCAACCCAAGTGTACACTGGGCTTGGTTTTTGCGGAGGTGCTAAACCTGTATCTGGGAGGTGCCCCTTCCAATAGCAAGGGGGAGGCTTGTGTGATTGAACCAACCTTCCTGCAGGAAAAAAAATGCATGTTTCATGTGACTGAAGAATGCCTTTCCTTTTGGCATACTAGCTTCCTTCTGTGTAGGAAGCTTTTTTTCTTTTGGGGGGAAAGGGGGCATCCGATCGTATGAACGGCGGACTTGGCACCTCAGTGAGAACCAGGTTGGCAACGGCCACCACTTTTACTGGGGTGCCACTTTGGGGGGGCATGATTCTCTGGAACCTCTCTTTTCATAGCAAAGCCCTTGTTCCCCCGAATTACCTCTTCTTTCACTCCTTTCCTTCCAGGGGCTGATGGTGGCCCTGAGGCTGCCATTGGCCAATGGCTAATGGTTAGCATAATAATAACAACAACAACAACAACAACAACAACATATTTTTCTGTGTATAAGACTATACTTTTGTCTAAAATCTTTAGACTAAAAATTGAGCCTTGTTTTATACACGGAAGTCAGCTGAGGAGAGAACAAAAACAAGTGGAGGGAGAAGCAGGGATCAAAGCGATCCTGCAGCGCTTTGATCCCTTTCCCCCTACACTTGCTAAGCCCCATTTAGATTTCTTAATTTTGGATTAGAAAAGGGCGGCGTCTTATACATGAGGGTGTCTTATACATGGAAAAAATGGTAATTGTGGTTTATTCCTCTCACTGACCTGACACCGAACTTTCTGGCCTACCTGATTTGGGTGTGTGTGTACATATGAAGAAACCAGGGACATTTTAGAGGGTAAGGGTCATGATGAGCCATTGAAGCAAAGATGCAAACACGCTGTAGATTTATTTTCTAATTTTGTTTGTTAATTTTCTTTTTCTTTTTGCATTCTCTTGAAGGTCTATGTTCGTCCTGGGCCCTCGGGGCGTCTGATTCAACTGCAATCCTAACCCCCACTCTGGGGGAAGGATGGAGGTGGAGGAGGGATACAATGGGGTGAGTATTGGCTGACGGGGGCACCAAATGGGAATAGATTGAATTATTGAAAGCATTACCCAGCTGGGCTTTTCACTTTAGGTTGAAATGAAGGCAGGAATGGACAGCTTGTTGTATGACAGGTTACTGGACTGCAGCATCCATCACACCTAGACAAAATAACCAGTGGTGAGGGATGATGGGAGTTGTAGTTCAACCTGTGGAGGGCCACCAGAGCATGGAAGTAGCATGTTGGATTTACTATATTAATGTGAACACCGCTACCTTTTGCATTAAAGAAGGATGTATGTAATCTTTAGCAGTATTCTGAAAGACCTTTCTTTTCAGGCAAGCTTTCCCTCAGTGATGGGCTTCCTGAGTGGGGTTTAAAGTGGATTATTGTGCCTTTACTGCTTTGAATGTGGGGTTTTTTTTGGCCATTGTTTTTGTTTACTCTCATTTTAGTGTGTTTGTTTGACCCTTTTTAGTATGTATATATTTACTCTTCTGAGCTTTAAATATTATTTTCTTTTATTTATGTAAGCTACCTTCAGGCCTTTTCGAGGAGAAAGGTGGGGTAAAAATATTTTAAACAAATGAAGAAGCATCAAAACATTAAAATGTCATTTCCAAAACATTATTTTTAGATGTGTATGTTTGGTTTGTCCTGTTAATGCAAAACGGCAATTAAAACATCGAAGCTAATGTGTTATTCCTAAACTCTGAGGGGGTACACACCTGCCCGCCCCCTCAGTGCTTTTGAAGAAATGTGATCATCTTGCTTATTGGCAGATGGGAAGGAAATATTTAATTCCCGCCCGAAGATTTCTACTTATGCGAGATTTGAGGGTTTGGGAGTGGGAAAAGGGGAATTTGAGCTACGTGGATACATGGATTCATCTTGGGTTGTGGGACCAATGGGGGAAAGTCTTGAATCACTGTGTCTGAAAATATGACCTTGGTTCCTTACTGTGTCTTCCTTGCCAGAACCCAGGACTGGCCACCCGGACTGGGTCTGCCATGGCCATCATTGGGGCTGAAGATGAAGACTTTGAGAATGACATTGAGCCGGTAAGATTTGATGGCAGCGGTATTGCATGGGGGTTGCTCGTTTGCAGGTAGGTAATCTAGAAAGAAGGGCAACAGAAGGAGAAGATTGAACCCTTCCCAGGGAAGTCTGGCTGGCCCCATCGTGGCGGTCCTCCTGCAGGCAGGCAAAGACCTTTCTCTTCAGGCAGGTGGTCTGAGAGGGGTTTTAAAATGGATTGTGGTGCTCTGTTGTTTTAAATGCGTTTTAGTGTTGATTTTATTATTGTTTTTAATGTAATACTTGTTTTATTCAGTGATGCGTCGCAAGACGAATGCCTCATGCAACAAAAAACTCGCAAGATGAAAGCGTTTTGCAATTTTTTGGTGACTTGCAAGACAATTTTTTCTATGGCCGTGTTTCACAAGACGATTCCCCCCCCCTTTTAAAATTATTTTTAAAAATCGCACAACCATTAGTACCACGCTTCTCAAGACAAAATTTTCGCAGTATGACATGACTCGCGGAACGAATTAACTTCATCTTGCTAGGCATCACTGTATTTTTAAAAAATATTTGTATACCTACTGTATTAGCTTCTACATATTGTATTTTTAATGATGTAAGCTGCCTTGGGTTCTTTTTAAGGAAAAAGGTGGGATAAAACTATAAGTAAGTAAGTAAGTCAGTAAGTAAGTAAGTAAGTAA